ATACAATAATTTCTCGGCTTAGCAAATTATTATTATAATTATGTGCCAGATATGTACAAACTGCGAGCACCTCTGAATAATTTACTTAAGAAGGATGTGAAATGGAAATATATATATATATATATATATATATATATATATATATATATATATTTGAGTTGAGCAAAGAACTTTAATCCTTGAATCGATTTAATCAAAATTTATATTTTTTTCTTTCCTTTTTACTTTTGGATGAAGTAATACCTGCATGCAGAAGGTATAATGGACAATTGCATGAGTGGAATTATTTTTTTTATATATATAATCATTGGATTATGAGTAATAAACAAAAAAAGGGAAAGGGAGAGATGTGGAAGGGGCGATATCACCCCTGAAATAATAATAATGATAATAAAGAAGAATATGTTGTAAAACAGAAAAAAGTCATTTTCAAAAGAACCAAGATGTTAAAAATGCTGTAAAGACTTTGAAATGTAAATGTTAGAGAAAGTTAATTTAGAACACGAAATACAATCTTTTTGTAAGTGCACAAAGGATATCAGATTACTAACAGAAAATTACTGGAACAATGATAATTGGAACTTTTAGAACAAGATATGAATTTTGACACTGTGAGAATTGAAATTAAAATAAAAGGTGTTTTGATTTAGAATTTATTCTTGAAACAAGACTCTCTGTAGTTCACAAAAAGCGGCAGAGTGGTTGATAGCGAGGTGATAAACAATAGAGTCTTGTTGTGGACCTTGGAAACCAATCGGTGAAAAGTAAATTGTTTACTCTCGGAGGAATGAAATTGTACTTTGAAAGTATGTCAGTACATTCGCACTAGAAAACAGATACGTCACCAGTTCTCTGCATAAAGAGGCGATCCAACCGGAAGAAATGAGAGTTTTGGGTTTGTCTGTCTTCGAATGCAGTCGAACAGAGTGGAGTGTGTCAGAGATTGAAAAGAAAGCTTCCCTGTGTGCTGCTGAACAGGAGGCGAAGAGCGAAATACCGCCGCTAAAATCTAGGTAATGCTACTCCTGCTATTACGAATACTACTACTATTATGACTACAGAGAACGGGAACATCGAAGGTTGTAGTAGTTGCGCTAAGAACAGACTAAAAAGGGTTAAAACGAAGGCCACATCTCTCCTTACTGAAAGTATTCGAAGTATTTGTGTTGGTTGGTTATTGTTCGCATAGAAGAGACATTCAACCTTGTGCAACAAGAATTTTTTGTGTGTGCATGTCGACTTGGTTATTTATTTTTCTGTTAACTCGATTCTCACCCGACGAACTCGCAGGTGGACTAACGGAGAGCTTCCAGATTTCGACGATCAGATGACCACTCTCCAGGATCAAAAAATCACAACGTGGCTGGAGAGTAGCTTCGAATTGACATTGGGAACCTAATACTAGACTATACCGGACCAACGGCTGGTCTGGTGGAGTGCTTGCATCCAGTGGGGTGAGAATATGGTGTTACAGTAGAGCTCAATACAAATTTGGTAACGGTGTCGTCGCAGGAATAGCCAGAAGGAAATTGAACATGATAGGGACTGGAGCTCCGGATTTGAATTCAGAGTTTTCCTTCTCCTAGGCTGGTTGCCAACTATGGCTACAGAGCCCAGACTGCCCTACTATTTATAGTTAGAGGGTTTTTAATCCAGAGGTTTTCTCTCTCCTAGACCGGTTGCCACTCAAAGATAAAAAATACAGTCTGTCCTGCTATTTATCCATAACTGGGGGGAAGAGATAGGTTCATACTTTTTCCAAGGATATAAGCATGTAAGTGGATGTAATAAACTCGACTGGAATTCGAAGTTGGCTTTCCGATTCCTCAAACTCTAAGCATCCTCCATATATAATCTATAGTAATATGAAAAGTTGTACAATTACATCCAATTCTAAATTAATAATTATGACAATAATGCTTTATATAAAAAATACAAATAAGACGACTATATTTTCCACAACTCATAGCGCAAAAGTAAAAAAAATGATCAGTCAATAATTAATAAAATTAAAAACAAAATAAAATTAGAAATCCGAGTTCAAATTCCATTCAAGTTCGTTACATTCACTTATGCACAAATAGCCTCGGAAAAGGTATGAATCCAACTCTTCTCCTCCAGCTATGAATGAGATAACAGAACAGAATGGGTTCTATAGCTCTGGTTGGCAACCAGTCTACCACAGAAAGATGACAGCAGCTTAAAATGAAAATTAAAAATAAAACAGAATCAGAAATCCGAGATCAAATTCCAGTCAAGTTCGTTACATTGATTTATGCACAAATAGCCTCGGAAAAGGTATGAATCCAACTCTTCTCCTCCAGCTATGAATTAGGTAACAGAACAGACTGGGTTCTATAGCTCTGGTTGGCAACCAGTCTACCACAGAAAGGTGACAGTAGCTTAATATGGGATTTCTTCTGCAAAGTCAATCATGTATCAAAAAGAGACATTATCACATTAGCATGCATCGTTCATGGTATGTAAGGAAGAGAAGTCAGTAAGATGATAAAATTTCAAATCTAAATGGTTTGTCCATATAAAATTGTACATTTATCATAAATAAGTTTAAAAATAAAGTAGCCATTATAGAAATATGATGGATTGAAGTTAGTTAGTTTAAAGATTACTTAAAATGTATTTTTTTAAAAGTCTATTACTTTCCACTTGAAGCGCGAAATGTTTATTTGTAGCAGATGTTTATTATTTAATTCAGTTCAAAGATAGGTGGGCATTGGGTCAGTTTTAATCAGCTATGAAGAAAGACTGTATAAATTTACAATTTAAATTTTCTACCTATTATATTAGCTAGTTCAATACCTGTCTCTTTACAAAAAGCAAGATGATCAAATTTAAAATATAAATCTTGTTTTTCGTAAGTGAATGTCATGGATCAGACTGGAATTCAAATTTGGCTGTCTGATTCCTCAATCCGAGCTGCTATCCATTACTCCACCAGGCCTCCAACTTGCTTAATTTTATCAAATAACATTATTAAGTTGCTGAAGGCTTAAAAAAAGTTTCTTAAAAGCATATTTCTTATAAGCTAGAAAACTTGTAAATTTTACCCAGAGCTGTGATGAAAGACTTTATAAATTTATAATTTAATTTTTCTACTTATTAGTTAGTTTCTCTTTACGAAGGGCAAGATGATCAAAATTTAAGTATAAATTGTTTGTCCGTTTAAAGTACTGCATTTATTAAAAACATACCCAGTTTAAATACAGGAGTTACAAAAATGTCTTCAAGGGGGCAGACATTTTGGGGTGATATTTAAGTATGTGATCTGCCATCCAAGTATTATCAACCAGAACAATGAATCACTAAAATGTATGATCTACGAGTTAAGAAAATTCTCAACATTACAATATACATTAAAAATAGATATATACAGAATAAGACAAAAAGTAGTCTTTATTTAATGAACATACTAAACAAATAATACAATATGATAAATAAGAAAGTAAAGGAAATTATTATTTTAACTAAAACTATCACTGTGTGTAAACAGTTTGAACATAATTCTGAAATGCAATAAATATATTTTGGTCATTGGGTCGCATAATTTTCCAGTAAATGAAATCTAGATGAAATTGTAATGTTTGGACAGTTTAGGTGTTACTTAAGTAAAGTTGTGTCTGTAGATAATTTTCTTTAAGGGAAATCACATAGACAACATAATGCATCTGAAAAGAGACACTATTTTAATAATAAAAAGATGACACTAATGTACTAATGCATCCTAAAAGAGACATATGTTTGACAAAAATATGGGGCAAATGCACACGCGAATCTCGAAAGAGACATGACATTAATAATAAAAAAAAATGGTACAAATGCACTAAGGTATCCCAAAGGAGACATGATGTTAATAATAATAATAATAATAATAAAACAAAAAAAACAGCGTAAATGAGGAATGTATCCCGAAGGAGACGTGACTTTAATAATAAAATATAGCACCAATGTACTAATGCATCCAAAAGGAGATATGACTTTAATAATTAAAAAATAGCGCAAATCTACTAATGAATCCCAAAACAGACATGATTTTAATAATAAAGGCAAGTCTCGTTGAGGCAGCATGAGTGCATTTCCGCCATTTTTATTATTAAAAATTATTTAATCAAAGTTTGTGCATCACTTCTTTTTAGCAATGCTTATGCAGTCGTCGACTATTTCTTCTTTTTTCGTTTTTTTTAATAAGATAGATTTACTTTTAGTTTCTATTACTTTGTTATGCATTTTCTTAGTTTTGGCAGCCAGTTATGAGATTTCTATTTTATTTCTTCCAACATTTAATATTTTTAAAAGATTTATTATAACTCAACTATAATATGTTCTGATTAGTTTTTTTCCTTGGCACCACGACTTCATGAATTTAAGCGTGCTTCTAGATTGGTAACTAGGTCTCACCGTGTTACTTTTGAACCGGCTCGACGCAGCCGTGTATTCTATTTTAATAGTTTCTTTTCTCGCACCTCTGCGTTTTTGAAAAAATAATATTACCAGCTATACATTTTTGAGGAAAAAATATTAACAGAAATAGATTTTTGACAAAACAAAAATATTACCAGGAAAAAAAAGTTGTCGGCATTAAATGACCCATTGATGCTGATATGCCGTAAAACAAAACAAACCAAACCAAGTAATTGGTTAAGAAATAACAAAACAAGAGGTTGCAGATAAATAGTGTATTGAACAATAAATACAACAGAAGTGTGTTACACGACTTGGGAGTGCGTGTCAATTGACCAGTGTTCAGTCTATATCACTGTTCCCCCGAGGCTTACTTTTCCTAGTAACTTTATAGTAATTGAAAGAGTCCACAATAGCCTCATTGGACACCACAACATTAACCCATAGCTGAGAGATTCATACCCTTCCCAAAGGTATTTGTGCGTAAGTGAATGCAACGAACCCGACTTGAATTTGAATTGTGCTCTTCGATTTTTCATTATGAGCTGTTATTCATTACACCACCCGCACATCCAAACTTATAGCATCTGGTATTCCCAATCGGTCACCCATCTAGGTATTGACCAGGCTCAACGTTGCTTAACTTTGGTGATCGTATGAGAACCAGTGTTTCAACGTAAGCTCCTTTTCCCGTGGAAAGTGAAAGTAAAAGTAATTAATTAGATACAAAACAGTGAAATATTGATTGAATATAATGATGCTTCCACAAGTCGTCAACTCTGTCACCAAAGTTATTTTGATGAACTGTGACGAAAGCGCGCAGTAAAGTTGCTGTGGTTTCCGAGTCAGTGCCAATTTTGTTACCTCCCGTCTCTCCACACCCTCCTCTGCCTATTACTCCCGTATTTAGTTGGGAGAACAATAGGTTAGATGTGTCGTTTTACTTACTTCCTCCTAATGTTCGAAACCGTTACTAGGAGACTATAAATACTCTGCGATAAGTCTTTATCACACACTTTTGATCTTATCCGTCAACATTTAAGTCTCTCATAGAAAAACGTGTTCCCTTTCGGGAAAGGCATGAACAATACACACACACACATACACACACAAACACATATGCATATTCACTCACTACACATACTTTGCACTCCAAAAGTTTCCACATTCATTTGTTACACACATTATTGTCTTTGTCACTTGTAACCCTTTGTTGTTATTACATTATCATTTGCCTGTACATATATATCGGTTCTTGTTGTTTCTTTACGTGGACTCACATCCCGAGTACGCCATGTTTGTTGTGGGTATTTCAGGAGACACATTATATCTCAATGCGTACACCAACCCGCAACAGACACACACTTAACACACTCTTTGCTTACATTACAATATGGACACAAAAAAATGACTATTTGAAAAACTCCTCGCGGGCCACATTGAATAGTTTCGCAACCCGTATGTGAGCCGAGGAGCCGTATTTTGTGCAGGGTTTGTATAGGTTACATTCTGCAATTCACTTTTTACTTTAAGGGATTTTCAATTGAAAATGAAATTTTCATGTGCAATTTTTCGCAGATTGTGGCTAACTTTATGACTAATTGTTTTTATCAATTATTTTTACATTTTAATCAGTAAATCCATTCACCTGGAATGTATCTTTTAAAACTGTTTTACATGCGGTACGGAATAATCTTTGTCAGGATTAAATATGATGGTATAAATATTTTATTTTATTTATTTTCACAAGCTAATTTTAACATTTATTTTAACACTTTAAAATAATTGTTCAGTCATTTTCTTTGTTTGAAACCCGTAAAAAGATCTTTTCGGATTACGAAGAGATAAAAGATCCTGTAATATAAGATTTTCACGTATTTTTGGTTGACTATTTTTCTGCCGGGTCCGACTCCTAATCAAGTCATTATATCTATCCAATGTACTTCTACATCCATTACTTAGTCCTGGGTATAACGATAAACTACATCCGGAAGCAAGGCCTCTGATTGGAAGATTGGAGGTTTTGAGGAGTGTGGAACCACCTCTTAATTGCTGTTGTCTCCATGTCCACTCTGACCCGGAGTAGCAGCACCTGTTAAGGTCCCAGTTATGCGCAAATAGTGAAACCTCAAGCAAAACATTATGGAAATATAAAATGAGATTTTTATAATAAAAATACCAGCAATATATTTTTATGTAAAAAAAAAATAAAATAATAATAATAAATATTTATAGTAAAATTAGCAACAATACATTTTTGAAACAACATGACAAGTAATACATTTTATCTGTAGGCATGCAATTGTGTTCAAAATTTATTTAGTTGGCGCTATAAAAATTGTTCAAATTATTAACATTTTGGCATTCAGTGACCTATGGAGGTTGATATGTCGCTAAACAAAATCAACTAACCAACCAATAAAAAAAACTCTTTCATGACATTAATCCACATAATATCATACAATTTCTGAAAGAAATCAAACTGTATTCCAAAATATAACTTCAACAAAACTACAATATAAAACACACATATGGCCGCCTCTAGTAATGATATCCACACAAACATGTACAAAAGCTGAGTATCATCGACCATGTATTCAATTGTCAAAGCAGAAGAATATTTATCATATTTTTATTACTTCAAGACTTCCTAGAAAATTAAATTTTGGCATTAAAGTACCCATAAGGAGTTGATATGCTGTTAAACAAACAACGTACGTTTCGTGTACTAACTTAGAAATCCTACGATGAAAATTTACGACCAGAATCATACAACGTATTTTATTATCCAGAAAAAGTTTTTATTAACTATTGCAACCTATGACAAAAAACGACCTTTGATTGCATTTTTTTTTTCAAGAAAATGTTATTATTTTGTTGAGTTACTTTCTCCACCTCCTACGCATTTTTCTTTGAGAATTTTTTGTGCCGCGTCTCTTCAGAAAATAGATGATCATGGTTCTCCACAACTATCCTATCATTTTTGAAAACCTACCTCTGTTTTATATTTTTAAACCCAGTGCTGGGTACCCAGGAATGGTGTCTCCGTGCCAAACACAAACCCATCCTTTTCTGCTACTTTCTGATAACTACTGACCAACTCTCCACCCCTCTAACCTGAATCGCGAGTTTAAACGCAAATTTTACTAACTATAACAACCACGTGTGAATAATAAAGGGAATATTATTTCGGGATTACCAATTTTTGAAGAAAGTGTTATGACAAAATAAAATACTTTCGTGGGCGCTTGGGTGTATCCTCGAGGTGTAAGAACGAATATACAAACAAGTGCGTACATTTAACAACAGCATATTTTATTGCCTAAGCAAACTAAATAAAAAATACACAAACAAAAGAGGTAAGTGAAGGTATGTAAGTGGAGATTTCTTTTTTCATATATACGTGTGTGTGCGCAAAGTTCCTTTGCAAGTTATTTACATTTGAAAAGAGTTCTTTGTTGGTTTACTTACAGTATTAGATATGTTGGTATTTAGACAAGTAGGTTTATGTTATTGTTTTCTGTTGTGTTCAATGGGACGTTAGGCTTGAAGGGGATTGAAACTACAATCGGGAAGTGAGGAACGAGGTACGTCTTGCCTCTAAAGCATCTTCTGGCTAAAAGAAAATAGGAGGAGATTTTTGAAACCTTATAAAATGCTTTTGGTTACACTATTTAGCGGTCCTTTGCAGAAGTTCTTTGGTAGACCAGTGAGGTTATCCCACAATAGTAACTTTCTTCTCTTATCCAATCCTAACAAACTGCTCCACTTCCCCTCTATTCCTTTCTAAGTCGACTTGAGTGAATATTTTCATGAAGGACCTAACTTCTAGTCAAGCCATCAGGTCTATCCCATTGCACTTTTGCATTCATTAGTAATAATTACTGTTGAGAAGTCAGTTTTCTGTCATAACATAGAAATCCTCTGCAGAATTTTTATGTTCAGAAACATAGAACATATATTTTTTAAAATCATTTCACCCCAAGCAAGGCAATAAAGCCACTAAGACGCAGGGGGTTACTGATTGTTAGAGAATATGAGAAAAATACTATTAAAAAGAGAGAATCATAAAAGAACAAAAATTAAGAAGACAGTAAATAACGATTGAGATTGCATTTAAATTTTTGAAGATCGAAGTTGTCAGGGAAGCAAAAAGCCAGAACAGAGTTCCACAAGCAAGAAGTGCAAGAAACTCTTATCATAGAACTTATGGTTATATCTAGCCATTTTAAGTGTAAAATGATGAGACCTTGCAGCCAATCTAGTACTGCGCTTAAATTTATAACGTCTAGGTACCGTAGCGGAAAGTTCATTAGAACAATTATCATGAAATTATTTATAGAAAAGGCAGAGGGAAACTACGTTACAACGGTGGAAAGTGACTGAAGCCGAGCTATCACGTCAATACCAATAATATTTCAGATTCTTCTTTGGATTTTATCAAGGATCTCTAAATATATAACAGGAACGCCAAATGTGGTAGCAATATTTAAAGCAAGGACGATATCAGTTCAGTTGATAGAATTGATCCCCTTCCAGTCCGGTGAAGTGCATCAACTCGACATAGCATCGACTCAAGAAGTCATCAGGAGACCACTGGATATAAGTTGAGTCATTATGTCCTGATAGCTGCCCAGAGCTCCTGTATATTTGTAGGTAATCTTGCGTGTGTGCGAATAGATCCCCTTTGTCACGTCCTGTAAATGCTCGATTCTTTTCATATCTATTTCTTTATAAAATGGTAAATGATAAACATTTTCTGTAATTGTTTCACATATTTTTGTAAATGTAGAAAAGGTTTTCATGTGAAGCGTTTCGTCCTTTCGGATATCTGTGACACTGGCAAACGGAAAGAAAAGGGGTTTAATTAAAAACATAATTTGGAACAAGACGAGAAGGGTTAAAGAATAGAACGATGGATAGCCCACGAACTAAGCCACGCCACATGCTTGAGAACCAGATTGATCGAAGAACAACAGGGGTGACAGGCGCAGGTGAAATACAAAGGCGGACAGAGGAATTGCCTACGTCCATTGGGAAGTGTTGGTGCGAGGCACAATTAAGAGAAGGAAGGAGTTAGGCGGATTGATATCCTGTGACTGCTACCCATTGGAAAAGAAATCTCTCCACATTTGGAGGCATAATTAATTATCCAGAGCCAGACAACAAAGAGGCTCTTGTTGGAGATAAGGAAAATACCAAGTCACCATAACCACGTCAACCCCCATGCCAGTTTTGGGTGGAAGTCCATATAAGCAGAACACAGAAGTTCCGGAGACAGTAGTTCCAGACGACCATTCTGCCGAATCCTACGTGACTTACTGCCAAAGAGAACCCCCGACTCGAGTTTTGTTCCAGACTTAGCTAAGTTAAGCAAAGTGTCACGGTAGACTTCAAAGTGGGAAGCGTTAATATTTCTGTACCAATAACTTATAATATTGTACAAAGAATTGATATGAAATTACATAGAAATAGACCTTGAAGAAATTCCAGTCTTTTCTTGACTTGTCTCCGAGAACATTTTATTTAATTTCCGACACTGATTTGCCGGGATCGAACCAACACCGCAATTGCTGACGACAATCTGATTTTTGCCAGCTCTGTCATCAATCAACACAAAGTGGGCAGAGCAACGGTTTAGACCAGAGTGACCAATTTGACGGCCAGCGGTAATATT